CAGGGAGTGGGGGACTCCTGATAGAGTATATAGACTCAACCCCTGGGTCTCACGACTATTGGGCCTGGACAGCGGCCCACATACACTTCTTGGATGTCATTTGTATTATTGTACAGTTCATATATTATTTGTATGTACAAAATTAGTCTTTTATGTAGTTGGGCCTATTGGACACATTAGCGGCTCAGCCCATTACTTCTCTATTTACACTCCTCTTGGAGCTCTTGTAAGTCCTATCTCTTAGAACATAACTCTCAATTCATTATTCATTCATCTTCTTCTCCACATTTCTTGAGCTCAAATATCTCCTAATTATTATTAGATTTGGATACCCCATAATCCATCAATACCTAATCAAATTTGTATTTCCTTTAGTTGTCGTAGTCTCATCTAAAAGACTCAAGCTTAAGAACAGACCCGCATCCTGATTATGAACATTTGAGAATTGTCGTGGGTAATGGCACTGCTAGAGGTGCACATTCGATTGCGGTAGCAGGTGAAATACAATATAGAAGACAAGGCAGAGACTCCTAATACATTGAATGGATTAGCATACGATCCCCTCAATGATTCATTTGTCTGATCAAGTACTCAAGTTTCATCTCCAGCTTCTCCTGAGATTCAAACTGCACCACAATCGGTTGAACAACCTCGCTCAGAGGTTCACCCATCAAAAAACAAAAAGAGTAGGCTGATTTTTAGAGGAAAAAAATTATGTCTACTGATGCGAAAGGCACACAAGAGTTCATGGAAAAGCTCACAGAAAATGTGGTCAGGTTCGCGGTTCGCCTATGTTATAGAACCAATCGACACGAAAGATCGAGTAAAAGTAATGGGATATGATAAAGGACATTTCGGGCTTGTGTTTGATGATCGGTTCAGAGCTCCTGATTTGCTAAATACAAAAGCAAAAAAGTTGAATTCGTTAACATGATTGCAGAAGCAAGATCGTGCGGAATTGATATCCTATATCCTATAAATTGAAATGATATGCAGGTAGTATTAGGATTTTTGCTCAGAAACTATTTCACATTTTGAGCATTTGGATTATTTTTATGTTAATTTCTTGAACATTAGTATAATGCATTGATGCTTTCCATTTGGATTAAATTGTTCCCTTTCTTAATGTGCTTAATATGTGCGATAATGCTATTAACTAGTATAGTTTTAGCTATTTATGTTTTCAAGACATTTAGAATAACTTTTGCGTTATTTCAAACAAAGAATGCAAAGTGATAACATCATTTTCTCTTGATTGTAATTTTTGTTGGTGTGAAAAGATTATCCTTAATTACTGTTTTTTATTTTTAAGGGAAAAGTTAAACGAATAAAGTCCGAAAATTTCTTAATATTTCTCATGTCCAAATCCACACAAATCTAGGCGAATCCATAAATGTCTCAAATGTCTCCTAGAATCCCATATTTAAAAAATGTCTACAAATATCTCGAATGAATTCACCCCCTAATTTAATTGGATTTTACACTCAAAGTATATTGAATTTGTACCTTATTTTAAAATCATTAATATATGCACCATATTACTATAAAATCACTTGACTTTGCACTGAACTCCTTCACAAATTTTGAGCTCATGGATGAAAATATTAATGACTTTCAAAGTAGGTACAAAGTCCAATTTCTTCCTTTTTTCTACAAACTTTTCTCACACCCAAAAATATGTATAACTAGATTTTCCCCTCTTTTGCACCTAACACTTGAGAAATACCCCAAATCATATCGTACCCTCCGTGTCTCTGTGGTAATTACTCAAAGGCACTCAGAAATTTTAGAGTAAATATCGAGAGGAGTTCTAAATATTATTCACTCCCGTAAAATTCTTTCCACTTATCATTTTGGAATGTCCTAAGAAATTCTTCACAATTTCCTTTTTAGAATATTTCGTGTGACTAACATCCATTTACCATTTTCTTGCTTAACCACAATCATATATCCCTACTTTATTCTCACTTTCTCAAATCGGGAAGAATTTTATGGGACGGAGTGAGTATGTACTTATCTTCAACTTTAAACTTATTTTAGATCGATATATTTTCTTTTCATATTACCCGAATATTCTATACAAATTATAACATTGAATCATTACACCGTTTCCTTGGTGTACCAATCTCAATACGACGTAGGTTTACGTTAAAAAAATTGTAGATAGTCTCCTTCTTTACCAATCTATCTGGTCGTCTCTTTTATCAATTCCTCCGATTTTTTCTTCCTTTTCTCTTTTCTACTTCAATTATTTTCTCTTTCATCAAAATATTAAGAACATAAGCACAACCTATTTCTTCTCCATCTTCCAAATAAATTCAAGTTTTTCCTTCTCCATCAATGAAAAACTAAAGTTTTTGAATCCGAGATAAAAATTCATATTTATATTTGATGCATGGCTTGCAACTTTTCTTCAAGATCTATCATATTTTTTCACTTTCTCGGATATTTCATATTTGAAAACATGTTCCACAGTTTCATAAGTTACATTTGTCACAACATGAAATTGCATTTCCAATAATGCAGGTTACATTTGTCACTATGTGAGATTACAATTGTCATTACGTGATATTACATTTCCAGTAACGCGAGTTAAATTTACTCGTCGTTTAATTTAGACATGAAATATAGTCTCAAGTTACATACTTACATTTTCCGTTAAGACATGAAATATACTCGTCGTTAAGTTTAGACATGAAATATAGTCTCAAGTTACTCGACGTTTTCCATAAACGCGAGTAACAATTCTTTATGTCTTATAATAGACAAATTACTTTTGACTTGTTTCAAATTACATTTTTCTTTGATGCGAATTACACATGTTTGTGTCTTATACAGCATATTAGAACACTTACATTTGACTTGCCTCATGTTACATTGTAGTTAACATGAGTTACATTTTTTAATTTGTCCCTCCCTAGTTTAACATATTATTGATTTAATCAATTAATATAATTAATTAATTAATTAATTGTCCGATCCATCTAGTTCTCTTGTAGCAGTAGTAGTGGTAGGGGTATTCTTGTCCATCTATAATAAAAACTCCTATTCTTTTTATCATGTTTTACGTAACTTCTATTATTGGGAAATGTCTCATTCTTTTAAGAAAATTGAACCATACTCTAATAATTGATTCAAATAATATACTACTTGGATGATTGGTAATTAAATACTCATCAGAAGAAATTGACAATTCAAATTTAGAGTACGCAATTTCCTGAGCTAGAAAGATTATCTAGCTAGCTTCTTATAAAACATTAATCTTTTTACGAGAAAAAGGTTAAAAATGGCTCTAGGATCAATTTTTTAATCAAAATATGTTATGTAAATCGTTTTAATCAACGTGACATGTGATAAGTATTTGATCATATGTTGATGTAGAATTGCTCATTTAATATGAGCTCATTTTTAAAACTCAAAAACTTACTTGAAAGCTACAATTTTCATGAAGAACACATCTCAATTCCTAAGAGATGCATCATTTTTGGGTAAAAGTATGTTTTATGTAAATGTTCAATCCATGTGACATGTGGTAGAAAATCGATCCCATATGGGTGTATGATTACAAAGCAATAATAATTCACTACTATACTATAATAGTATGAAGCTTCCTTTAATGATCCATTTTTTATTTTATTTTATTTAAAAATCTTATAAATTGTTGCTTTTGAAGAAATTTGAGAACAAATGACCACATGCACGTTGTTCCCACTTTGAGTTTAAAACACTAAATTATGGTTATGGGTGTCACACCAAACTCGGTCAGCCATATACTCTTGTTTACTTAGCACTTATTTTAAAACATGACTTATTCGCTCAGACCATTTTTAACTTAATGGTTCAGCCCAAATTCAATACTCCTTCCCATACAGACAACCGCCCAGATGCATCTATGGCCACTTTCTTTTTTAACTCTCGTTCCCTTTGCTAACCTCTTCTACGACCGCCAAGTGAAGAGCTGCGCACATAGTCCATCGCCGGTCGCAGCCACCTGCACATTTCTCTCCATCTCCGACTCTCATCCCTCACCTTCTCCATATCGGTATTTCCTTTATGTTTTCTCTTTAGTATTTTCCAAATATTGCATCTACTTAAAAACGGTGGTAGTACAAATAAAGTTGTTGACGTTTTTCCAAAACAAAAGAAAAACAATTAAATGAGTTTTTTCAAAAATATTGCTACAAAAAAATTATTTACAAAATTAGAGTTGAGTTAAAAGTTTTAATGAAATACTGCTAGATCAAACCATTGTTGGGTGTGTCTCGGAAAAACGAAGAAATTTTAATTAATAAAAATAATTAATTAATTTAAATAGCTAAAGAAAACCAGAAATAAGATGAAACAGAGTTTAGCCAGAGCTCGTGCTACGCACGATGTCCTTAAAACGTATTAGTCGCCTCCCACGGTGCTAGGAGCGTTGCAACGGCCGTTTCCCAGGATACGGAGGCTAACGAACTAACGTTTGAGCACACAAACGAGAGTTCCGGCGAACGGGAACAAAGTAGAACTCCTAGGAATTTTTTCAGAGTAGCTGCAAGTGTTTTAGAGCTCAAAATACGTGTAGACAGAGTATAATTGCATGTGTTGTAGGATTTGTTGTGTGTTAATTCGTAACCACTTTGACCCGACCCAAAGCGGAAGTGGACCCCACTCAAATAATTACCTCAAAATGACCATTTAATGTAATTTTTAACACATTTTTCCAACAATGACTAACAAAAATTGCGAAAAGAAATGGTGACTTGCAAAAATATTGTATATCCAATATTAGTTTCATATGAAAAGTGATAATAATCCGTATGGAGGTTGAAACTAATACTGGGTTGGATTCATGATAGCAGTTGGCTCATTGCACTCACAGTGAATACACCACAACAGTCAATTATCACAAAAGATATCATTTCACATTAGACAAAAATGACAAGAAAAGGAAGAAGAATCAAATTTAATTAAAGTCAATTATCAATAATATAATGTTATTGATATAAGAAATAAGACATTTGTTCTCGTCTAAGGAATTGAAGCGATCATTATTAATTAAAGTCTATATATGGAAATAGGATTACATCGACAGACAATAATCTATAACGTAAGAAATTAAAAAGTGATGATAGACCACACATAATTAATCAGATTCCCACTCCCTTCCCAAAGTCCAGTGAATATTATCGTAACTAAGATAAGCTCCAACGCTGTTAAACTTCCAATGGATGTGTTGATGTTCTTTGTCTCTTGTAACATTATATGCACTGAAATCAAGAAAGTTTACAGAACTGTCATCACCCTCGCAATCATAGGCATTGGGGTAGTTTTTGAAACTGGCTTCGAGTGAAACTTTCTGGCCTGGCTTTAGGATAGTCCGTTCAACTGCCCTACATATAAAACTCACATTTTGGTCACATTTGTTGACGAAATCGATGATTGGGAATTTCTCTGCGGATGATAATTCCGCAGCGAAGATCGCCAATAACAATGCCGCGATGACAACCCATATTTTGTTTTGATCCATGACCATGTTTTTCAGCCTTTCTGCTTCCTTATTTTTATGATTATTGATGGAGGACACTTTGATTTTTTCTTTCTTCTCAATCATCTTATTTATAGTTGGAGAGATTCGAAGCATCGCGCATGCAACCCTTTTGAGGGTGAAACATCAATTAATGAGGGTGAATCTTTATTTTTTCAGAAATGGATTGGGAATGAAGTGGTGATATACCATACCTTATTTAGAAAAGGTAGATTCTATGGTACCCATAAGGTATCATACCTTCGTCCACATGGACCAATCAGTATGTTTCAGTTGAATTATTTAAAGGTGACACCTCCGATATCCATTTTAAAAATGGGGTACCGTACTCTAAATAAAAAATGATATGGTGATTTGAACCAATCAAGTGAATGGTAGGTACGGTACCCCATTTTTTAAATGGGTACCGGAGTTGTCACCTTTAGAAAATCCGTAGTTTTGGAAAGAAATTAAAGTTGTATGTTTTTTGATAAATATATATCATTTAAAAGATTGTATTCCTTTTCTTTGATATTTTTCCTTATATATTTTGGGGAAAATGTTCAAATAGCTTCAATAGGTTCTATATGACGAGATTCACCGATTTATGGGGCCCTAATTTTTTAAACATTTATTAGTATTATATAGGGAAAAGGATCAGATAGGGCCTCGAACTTACAAAAAAATGTCAGATAAGGCCTTATATAGGAGGTTCTGTCCGGCCGACGCCATTTGGGTTAGTCCCCGGTAGAATTTTTTAATTAAACTTTTTAAGCATCTTATTCATTAAGTCTAGTTTACTCATGTCAATTTTCAACTAAAACTTCAATCGGGAAGGCATTCAAATAAATTCTTGAAGATAAGTGCGCAGTTAAAAGCGCAGTTATCTTCAAGAATTTGTTTGAATGTCTTCCCGATTGAAGTTTAGCTGAAATTTGGTATGAGTAAACTAGACTTAATGAATAACATTCTCACAAAATTTCATCGAAACATTTTACCGGGAACCGCCCCAAATGGCGTCGGCTGGACAGAATGTTCTACATAAGACCTTATTTGACATTTTTTTGTAAGTTCGAGCCCCTATCTGACCCTTTTCTCTATTATATTTTGGTAGCTATAAATCCTTTTAAGGCTTTAAATAAAAAAATATTAGAAATTTAGAAGCTAAGCAAAGAAGATGAAAGATTAACCTTGATGTTGATCGATTATGTCTATAGACTGGAACAAGGGAATCTCAAATTAACCTTAGCTAAGGCCGTATTGTTGATCGATTCATCTAAGGCCTGAACAAGGGAATCACAAATTGCCTTAAGACCCTTCTTCTTCCATTTGTGCGCCGATGGCTATTCCGTTTCTAAACTAGCCGGACAAAGGTTTGGCAAAGCTCAAAGGAAGCCCAATATGTAAATTTAATACATATACATACTAAACAAATATCAAAAATTTTGGGCCCTAAAATTTTAACATTTTTTGGGCCCTGAGGCAAGTGCCTCATCTGCCTCACGCACGGCACAGCCCTGGTAGTAAAATTATATTTTAATATTAATCAGTAAAATACAGTTAGTATGGAAAAACAATAGAGATCTATCATATTTTTTATCGGTCCTTTTAGTCCTCTTTACTCAAATTGCTTGAGTAATGAGTTGTCTTAATTTTTTTAAACATTATTTATTGAGTATTCAATTGATTTGACTGTATTTAGATTGAGCTTTGTTTTTTAATTTTTTATATTAATATGGGGCCTCAGTTATACATTTGAAAGTTCAAACCAAAGCCTCCAAATTAATTATACGACTCTGCTATTTCTAATGCATCACTTGAATCCTTCTACTTAAAAAAGCATCATAAAAGTACACTTACTTACTAAATACAATTAATCAAGTAATTTTGACTTGCTATAGCAGGTTATTTTTTTAAAATAAATAAATTGGGATGATATATCTTGTAAAAACTTGTATAAATTTGAAAAATAATTTTATAATAATACAAAAAACATAAATCTAAAAATCGATGAATAATGTAAAAACGTTAAAAAAAATAAAAAATCAGAAAACTGAAAAAATAAAAGTAAAAATGTAAAAATATAAAATATTCTAACACGTTCAAAAATTTAAAATATGGACTTTGACATTTGAAAATTTTCACAATTTTCATCTATATTATTTTTACTTATTATAAAAACATTGAATAAATAATCAAATTGATCAATTTTTAATACATAGGACAAAGTGATGGATGCAAAATGCAAATAGTAAAAAAGCTTATTTGAACCTTTTCACTATATTTTGGATCATAATTTCGTACATTCTTTCCTTTTGTTAATAGTATGTCCACGAAAACATGAATGATGCATACATATGTGATATGAGAGAGAGGAAATTGAAAAAAAAATAATAAATAGAATATTATATCTCTTTTGATTTGAACTGTTTTATATATTTTTGGTAAATTTTTCTTTACAATGTGTACAAGTTGATATACTGATTGACGATGTTGAGAAAAACATACCAAAACTTAGGCCTGAGCACGGGTCGGGTTCAGGCGGGTCGGGTCTGCGGACCCTTAACCCGTTCGGTTTTTTTAATTCAAATACTAGGCCCGACCCTTTGATATTTTAAATCGGATATTTCGGATATTTTTAAGTCGGATATTATCGGATATCGGATCGGCCGGGTTTCGGATATATCGGTTATATTAAAACACATTACAATGGGATAATTAAAGTGTTGGAATGCCACTTTGAAAAAATTGTACACACTAGTGCACTACACATTCAAATTACACAAATAATTTAACACAAATTACACAAATAATTGAACACAAGTATTAAGATAACATATTCAATGTACACATATTAATGTGTACTTTGAATATTCAAAGTTCATAATTTAATATATTTCGGACATTTCGATTATATTAAAACACATTATAATTGGATAATTAAAGTGTTGGAATGCAACTTTGAAAAAATTTGTACACACTAGTGCAATACACATTCAAATTATGAGGAGTTAGTGCTCAAACTTCACTATTTTAGATTTTTAATTTTCAATATCATTCATCATCCTTTCGTCCTTTGTTAACTTCTACAAGATTTATTTTCTTCACATATTGATTATTTGATTTTGGTCCTTTGATTTTCTGTACACAATTTTCACATTGCGACTCTCTTAATTTTTCACCCAATAACTTTCATAAAGCTCACATATGAGTTTAAAGTCCAAATATTGAGAAACATTACTCTAGATTGCTTTAGTTTATGTAATTGCTAATAGATTTGTAGAGGTGTATTGGATGATTAGATTAATTTTGATTGGTTGCTCTAATTTATATCAAGTTTTAAATTTCAATTATGAGGTTTTTAAAACAGTAACTACAAAAACACATAAATCATAGTATTAGAAGTGCATTTTTTAGAAATAATTCTAAATCTATAATCAAAATAAAAGGTGTCGACAAAAATGCGACTCTAGTAACTTTAGTGTATAATTTTATTCAAATGTTATATCGTAGTGACTATAAAACTTACCCATGTTAACATATAGACACTTTATGTCCATATATTTTTTTATTAGTAATATTTTAGGCAAAAAACTTCCCATTTTCATTGTGTTACTTGTATACATTACTGTTCTTAAATTTAGATGTTTTACTATCGAGACAAGACTTAATCTTTTGATGTTGATGCGGTAAGTGATTCATAATTTTGAATCTAGACATATATAATTTGTGAATAAGGTTCAAACGATTGTAATTTTTTGTGATGTTTTAAAAAACTTTATCTGTGGTGCAATTTAATCTTGTTTTTTAAATTTAGGTGGTCAATTATAAGTAGTTAATCATCATTTTAGGATTTATACTAATTTCGAAGAAAAAAATTATCTTTTAATAAAACGGTTACCCGCGGGGAAACTGTTACCCGCGGGGAAAACCGTTACCCGCCGATAAAAAATACCTGACGGGTAACGGGGAGGTTTCGGGGAAAAATATTAGCAAACGGGGCGGGTACAGGTAATGGTATACCCAACCCCGAACCGCCCCGTTGCCATCCCTATTCTTGACATGAATAGAATTCGATTTTATTTTTCTCTTGTTGCTGTGGTGTATGTGCTATAATGTTGCTGCTCTTTTCCAGGCATTGGTGTCCAGAGTGATTTGTCTCCCTCGGTGTGGGAAGGGGTTTTATTGTTCCTGCCATATTCGTTTGGTTGGGGGATTATATTTGTGTTTTTACGGGCTGTGTGGAGGAAAAAGATGTAGTGTTTCCAGTCCATCCCCTTCTGGAACCGCGCCATGGAGGGATCATGTGGTTAGGGTTTGAAAAAAGACGCTTCAAGTTTGGATATGGCCCTGCGCTTTATTGTTTTACTTATGTTTCCAGCTTTACTTGTGTCTTTTTAGAGTTTTTACTCTGCTTTTGGCTTGCTTGTGTTAGAGGTATTTTGGGGGGTGCTTAAGGCCGTTAATTAGTGCGCAAAATCTCCAGTATGTTCAGCGAAAAATTCCGCTCTTTTTTGGGTGCATTTTTCTATGTCTGATCAAGGACTGAGAGAACTTTTCGACTATTTTGAGTTTATTGAATTGGTAAAGAGTACGGTAACCGTAAGGATCAGAAAGAACTCTATGTTGCTCTTCTGGTGGTCAACGATTCGTGTTGCTTCTATGTAGATGGTCTTCTCAGAGTCTGATCGTAGGTTATTTTTGAGACGAAGTCTGTTAGAAGATAGTTGGCAGATCTTGTGAGTTTGGCTGGTTGTAACTCTAAACTATTGATTAAATTAATATAGTTTGACGTTTTCTTTCAAAAAAACTACAAAAATAATACTACGCTCCGTTTTTTTAATCGCAACATGTTGAATTTTACATTATTCACATGCTCTATTTTGACTACATTTTACATTACAATTTTATGAAAATGATTTTTAATAAAAATATTGTTCAATTCATCTCATTACAAATTTTGAAAAACTGAATTTTAATTTTTTTTACTAATAGAGAATAAGATTGATACGTTTGTAATTTCCATATGCATGTTTGTGTTTTTAATTAGTTTTGCTT